ACCACACACACACACACACAAAGTATTTGACTGATTCTTGAATCTGAGACCTACCACCAGTAAAATGTGGCAAAGATTCTGGCAGCAGGAGAAACCACTCTCACCAACCTGAATACCCACTCAGCAGCTTACAGTGTTTACTTGCTCCATTCCTTTGACATGTCTTTATTAGCCTACCTTAGTAGTTATATAAATGTAATGGAAGTCTAATTGTTTATCTTCACCAGTGTTATCCTTCCAATAACTTCATTTTATCATGCACTTTCTCATCAGCTGAAAGGTAAAAACTAAAAGAAAAGCAACATTATTGAACAAAATCACACAGGGCACCAACTACCATGATTGTATATACAGTGAACTGTTGCTGAACTGGGACATTTGTGACATCTATATATTCATTATTCCTCGCTTTAGTTAACATGTGTATTGATGAACATAGCCTAAACTGTGTTATAGGTTACTGAGCAGCCACAAGAAGCAGCTTCAGTGCACCTTGCCATATTCTTCATGTCTCTTAACTCCACCAAAGGGATGAATAGTAAGTATTAAAAATTTTGGTAGTATGTATGTCCTACTGTTGACATGTTTTATGAATGGCTGATATACCTTTGCAAGAGTGTGTTGAGTGGTATTGGGGTAAAATGTACTGTATTTTTCATAGTACTGCTAGTATTGTGTTGTCAAATGTCTTATGGATAGTTTGTTATTTATCAGTACATTGTGCAACAGACTGCAGCACTGTGCCCAGTTCAAATTTCCCTTCAGGGGCAATAAAGTTTATCTTTAACACTTTTACAAATATATTGCCCAGACATTGTAATGATGGTGTTAGAGAGCACTATCTAATATGATGCTCCAAAGTCTGGCATAGATGCTCATCTGGGCTGTGACCTAGTGCCAGTGAAGGCCATAGCATATGTTTCACATCATCTAACATTTATAAAATCATTCAGTAAGTGCTTGAGCCCTCCTATGGAAACATTTGTTCTGGCTTTATATATTTACTTAAGTGTGTCACAGGTCTGGAGCAGTTTTGTGGTCTTGCAGTCTGACCAAAATGTTAACCAAAAAATATGAGCCAAAACAATAGTTTATTTGGAACATGGGGCCACTATTTCAAGAAACTCTGTTATCAGAGGGAAGGGACAAACAACCTGTGTGGTCATTTAGGTCGGAGAACCTGTTGGTCTCAAAGCTACATTAGCTGCTATTAGCAAAACACCCACATTTCTGACAGAGACTTTGGTTGTTGAGCTGTAGCATGAGTAATTTAGTCACTATTTCCACACCATGAGTTACTGATAAACACATGACCAAAATGTTAACCAAAAAATATGAGCCAAAACAATAGTTTATTTGGAACATGGGGCCACTATTTCAAGAAACTCTGTTATCAGAGGGAAGGGACAAACAACCTGTGTGGTCATTTAGGTCGGAGAACCTGTTGGTCTCAAAGCTACATTAGCTGCTATTAGCAAAACACCCACATTTCTGACAGAGACTTTGGTTGTTGAGCTGTAGCATGAGTAATTTAGTCACCAGGTTTTCACACTGAAGAAAAATGCATAGAGTATAAAAATTGTGGTGTAATATTTTGTCATTTTTTTCACTCAAACCATTGCTGCTACTCAGTACTTTGACTAGATTGCATGCCGTGCCAAACCTATTTCCCCACATGAATCATTTAAAATTGTGTCTAATTCATTCTAATTCCAGAAGATGTAGCAGAAGGTCGTGGTGGGGTTGATGGACATGGAGGGCTCAGACAGGTGGCAGGCAGCCCAGTCTCAGAGCCTGCTGTGGGTGGGTGTCCACCCAGAGGTGCCAAACTTGCAGCCAGGCTCCCACAACCTCACCTTGGTCAGGGTGACTGGCAGGGTCGCACAGCGAGTTCAGCCTCTTTTCACTATACCCCAAGTCTGACACAGCACTCACCTGAGTTTGTTTAAAGTGTCTTGTATTTTATTTTCAGTAATATTATGCATCTTATACTCCTTACGACTCAAATTCTATAGTTTCTGTTTTAAAACATGCACTTCTGTGATCAGCCCCATATAGAATCACTTCAAAAATGACTATGTCTGTGTCCTTTCTCAATGGATCTGTTTTTGGAACAAAATTTTCTTCTGTTTTCCATATGAAAATAAAACTAAAAAGAGAGTTGAGGAAAACAAAGAAAAGAGGAGAGACCCTGGGACAGCGAGAGGGTAGCAGTGACAGTACCTTCTAGCATTTCTGGTTCTCACAGCTGAGGTGTGAAGTGACACCTCCAGACTCATCAGTTTTCATCAGCGTGAAACTATCACACCTCCACTTTAACTGGATTACACAAGTCATTAAACACTGATGATTTACATTTACATTTTAGCCATGTAGGACATAGGTTTTCTATCCAGAATGACAGAGAACAGGGGTAGCAATAGGACAAGCTCCATCATGATAATGAAAGCGAAGGGTCAGAGTTCACAGCTCACGCCTGAGCTGCTGTGACTAGAAAATGATTGCATTAGTGAGAAGGGATAGAAAGTGAGGAGATCAAGAGAAGGCTTTGCTATCAGGCCAGGTTCAAAGTTATACTGACATGAGGATGAAGAAGCAGGAGAGGGGAGTTTCTTTTAAGAAGTAATCCTGATGTTTAAGTTATGAACATGATCATATGCATTTTTAGCCCGGGTAGTGTCAGAGTCTTGCTTTGTCAGTTGAAGCAGCATCATGTTTGTTACCTGCTATCTGTGTTGATTTCTTAGACACAAAGCGCAGCCCCACTTAAAGGTCAATTTGTTGATTTTTTTTAATCAAATCTCATGTGTCAGCATATGTCTATTCTAGTATTAAGTACATTTTATATCTTAATTGTATATAAATCATGGGAGAAGGATTGAGACTCAATACATAAAAGTAGAAGAACCATACATGATACATGATACATGATACATTCATTGATAAACATAAAATCCTCTCTGATTGTCAGTATGGTTTTAGGTCGAACCGATCGACATCTCTGGCCATTACCGACCTGATGGAGGACATTACAAGTGCTATGGATGAGAAGAAATACACGATAGGAATATTTATTGACCTAAAAAAGGCATTTGACACAATCAATCATGAATTATTAATGGACAAGTTAGAAAAATATGGGATCAGAGGAATGGCTCTGAAATGGATTAGTAGTTATTTGACACAGAGGCGTCAATTTGTGAAGTTGGGTGAATACCAATCGAGTGAGCTGGATATTGTATGTGGAGTGCCTCAGGGTTCAGTTTTGGGACCTAAATTATTCATACTATACATTAACGATATGTGCAAGGTTTCGGATTTAGTGAAAGAGGTCTTATTTGCTGATGACACTACGATATGGGCATCGGGTGAAAACCTACAGCAACTCT